GAAACGAAGATTGCTTTTTTCTCGTATTTGCTGTTTTTTTACTGGTTGGCTTTCACTTTTCTAGTTTTCGTCCATAAAAAATAAATCGTTTCAAATTTTATCGTCTGGATGGTTAAACCGTTTTCCAAGGGTTTTCCTTCGAATCACATTCGTAAATGGTTGTTTATTTCGTTTGGTTTGCATTTTGCTGTTTGCATTACGAAGTTTGTTTACACTTGACTGTAAAATTATGCGTTTTTGGACCGTGGTTGATTACAGGAAAATAATGGATAGGTAGAAATGTTTCTAAGCTAATCAAATCGCACCATTTAGACGGAAGTGATGCTTGGATACAGGAATATAATGGAAAAAATGTTTCTAAGCTTATCAAATCGTACCATTTAGCCGGAAACGCTTGCCATGAAGTGACAAATATTTATATATTAAAATTAAATATTTTGATAAACAAAAGCACTAAAATACAAATGAAAGATACTCTTTTATGACTAGACATAGTGTATATAAGTTTAATTCATTAGCAGAAATGTAATATTCCTTTACTAATGTTTAATTTTCTTTATCAATCGTTTTGAGCTGCAATTTTTGTTTTAAAGGAAGAAAAGGGATCTGCTCTCTCTAACATTAGTTCGAAAGGAATGCTTCATTATAAGACTTTTAGAACGTGAGTGCAGTAGACAAAGATAACTTGCAATATACGTAGATTTTAGATAGTTATCTCATCACCAAGATTCGTCACAAAACATCGATCACCAATCGTAAAGCTATCTTGACAATACAAAAATACAAAGTATTGATGTTTATAAATAATTGTAGTTTTAGATCGTCCGTGTATATGAAGATCAGAGAAGGACTGTTGGTGTTAACGTTGTTTGTCAAAACATGGCTCAAAACTTTCACTTTATTACGATGTTATTAAGTTATAAAGAGTGTATCAGGAAAAACTTAAAAATGTCTTGCTTTAAACATTTCTAATAGTCAAAGCCTTATAAAAAAAAACAAAAAAAAGAAAAATCAATTTTCCTCTACAAATGTCTATGTATCCTATATTTCTCTTTCCATTTTTGACATCGTAACAGGCCTTCTTCTAACAATAAGTCTTGTAGACAAGAAAATGGAAATTTTTTATTTTTACTCTGTGGCTGTAATTTTTATTTCGATGGTTACACAACTGCATGTTACAAGTCCAAGTTCTGCGTAACTTAAAGTTTTGACGTTATAATTCGTTGTCTGACGAAAAAGCTTATCGTGATGTACATCAAACGAATGGAAGATGCATAGTTATTGATTATAAACATAGCATGCAAACGTGCCTGAATGTATCAATTAGGGGTTGCAATTTGAAATGATCTCAAAAATTTGATAATTTAAAAACAAGACACCTCTCTTTTGCGTCCCGGTTTCGGCGATGAAACTACAAGTATTGCCTTCCTAAAGACAAGTTTGTCAAACTCAAAGCTGTCAGCTCAAAGTAATAAATTTTGAATGATAAACATCCGTTCTAATTTAACTTTTTAAAACATTGGTTAAAATGCGCAGTTGCGAAGTCGTGAGAGGACCGTATCTTGCAAATGGTTGTAAAAGAAATCCATTAACTGATAACAGGAAATATAAGAATATTTTTCCTGAAAAGCAAAGAATTATGGGATGGAATAGACTCAGATCACTTCCTCTGTTCTTCACCCTCGTGGTCGTCGATTAAACTTTAAATTCAGTTGCGTTTGAGCCATTCTGGTTGAATGTCGCCTTCATTGAAACGTGCTCTGACAACATTTTTTCGGGTAAGTGTGAATTTTTTTGTTCAGTTTATCATTTTAAAGAGAAATGGAGAAGCCTAAATAATCACTAAATAACACCAGCTTATTTCATATTCGAGACACCTTAAAAAATCGGTTTGCTCGTCAGAAATTTTAAAGAAGATATTTCAATAGGATTTGTACTTGGCACTTTAATGTGTATAATGAGTTATTTGCGTTGAATAGTGGAATATTTTGCACAAAGTTTCCGCTTCTCGACTTATTTCAACTTTACAACGCTGAGAAATTATCTTCAGATGTAATGGTCGAGTGTCGAGGGTAAAAGTCAAGTATCACGCATAAAAGATTGTTGCTTAATTGTCTGTTTGTAATTTTCCTTTTCTGGAGTAAACTAACTTTTCGTAATGCTACATTGTGAACGTTTATGAAATATACACTGTGTACATAGAGCAGGCGGTTAGGTATACAGATGTTTATATTCTGCGGCCGAGCAAAATTATGAGCCAGCTTCTACCATAAACCATAGGAATATGTTTCATTGATGGTATTAACATTATTGGAAAAGCAGAATTATGCAGTGTGTTCCAAAGAAAACAGATTTCGCACAAATGATTATGTGTGCATCAAATGAAATCTGCATGAAATGATTTAGCCTTCTTTAGCTATTTGTTCCGCCTGGTTAAAGTTGCACGTGCTTGTCTATCTTTATTGGCAAGTTATGAAAAATATATTAACGTTTTTACGGCTGTTATAATTTATTTAATGTTGACTTCTTTACAGAGCAGTGACGGAATAAATTTGAGATATAAATCAGTGAATGATAATACTTTTAATTTGCTTTGCTTTAAAACTGTCGAAACCTTTAAACACTATAAAGTCCCAGAAGTGTAGAACTGTCTGGTTTATTAAGCTTTTGTGAATGCTAAATACTTTATTATGCATAATAATTGCAGCAACTACATAATTAAAAAAAATGCTAATGTCAATTTTCATTTATTGGATTAAAAACCGTGAAATGAACAGATCTCGCTTGCAGTAAAACAGATTTCCATAATTAAAGCTCGCGCACTGATAAAGTCAGAACAGAGGATCCTGAACCAATTTTTTGCCAAAATAAGTGCATTGTAATTCACCGGATATGTTTAAAAGAAACTTCACTTGATTGCAGACTTTTTTTATGTTCAAACAATGCTCAAATTGTAACTCATCACGCCTTAGTCAATAGAAGTCTTAAATGACAAAGGGAATTGCATGCAAAAATATAGCACTAAAGTGTATTGTTTGGTAAGCAATCTCGCCTTTTAAAAATCTGAAGAGATGGAAAAAGGCAGTATATAGAAGAAAAAAATTAGTATCCAAGAGTTGGAGTTTAAGTTTAAGTAGCTGGTTTGTGTAAAAGTAGGATTTGCTATTTTCTCTAATGCTATTACATAAATCTAGATAAATAATATACGAACGTTATGTACTTCACTACATGATTACATAAAAGATGCGTTCACTATGATTTGCGGAATGGTCGTTTGGTCTGTTCCACGTAATTCTATTATTTTTTGCTGTTTATAAATGCAGGATAAACCAAACATTTTGCGCCCAATTTGCCGTTTGTCGCCCCTATATAATCCTTCCTGGGAGGGCCATGGCCCCTGCAAACACGCCACTGTTCATCAGTCCACATAACAATAAAACGTTATGACAAAACCCAAGCTGTTTGTAGTGGATTAACGAAATAAAACAGGCTGCTAAGATATGTTAATTAGGAAACAAAGAAACATACGCACCCTAATTTACATATCAGTTCCAGAAGTAAGCATGTAAACATTGATAATGAAAAGAAAGTCCATTGCAGTTTACGAGAACTTTTACTTTAAGCAACAAAAAATGTCTTGACTTTGGCATATTCCAGTAAAAAAACAATGGAAATGTGTCACTCTGCTGAAGATTGTCACTGACGTTACAGCTGACAAAGTCATTGAAGTGTTAACGTTCACATAGGCGTAGAAAGTGAGGGGGAAATGGGTGTAATTCAGGACTAACAAAGACACTTGAATTTTATTGCATACCAAGTAACAACAAGTCTGTTTTACTACACGTGACAGCCTGCATAAATTATGTAAACAATGGGTCAACTTATCGTTGAATACACCGTCCACCCCCCTAACTTTTTAAAATTTGTTTCTGCGGAAATGGACATGCGTTTACAGTAATATGGTTTCATTTAGATTTATTTTGAGAAGATAATACAGAGAGGTTTTACTAAAAATAAGATATATTTTAAATCTTACTGCGTATTTTAAAGAAATATAAGAAAATACTGAAATTATAACAAAGTATTTTCTTTGATTACACCGGAAATTGACTTGTTAAATATTAATGCTTACTTCTAGGATACATGTAAGTGGATAGAACAAACTCAGACGTCAGACCTTTTCCACCTCATGGTCGTTAAAGTCTGTTATTGTGGTTTAATGTCGTCTTCACTGAAATGTGTTCTGACAATTTTTGTTCCGGTAAGTGTGAATTTTAGCTGTTTTTATCATGTTAAAGGGAAGTAGCAAAGCCAAAACAATCAATACATCACAATAGCTTATTTATTTTCAGGATAACTTAAAAACAACGCTTCTTCGTTGGAAATTTCCATAGAATATTTTACCAATGGGATTTTAAAGTATTTGCCATTTCAAACGCTTTTATTTTAATGTGTAATGACCGACTTGCGTATCGTTGAACGGAGGAACAATTTGCAATAAAAGTTTTCGCTTATAGATTTCTTTCATCTCCACAACACTAGAAAATTAGCTTCAGTTAAATGGTTGAGATTAAAATGTCGAGCGTCAGATATCTAAGAACATTGCTTGATGATTTTCCGAGTTTGAAGTAAGCCATATTGCCGTTTATTCATGAATAAGAAAACAAAACGGAAAATTTGTTTTTTCACCATTCAATTCTCTATATTTGCCAGACATTTGCTGGTTTCAAAACAAAAATAGTGGACACTAGGCAATTATACTTCCTCTGCCACAACTCTTTCGTATGTTAGTCTATAGGAATATCTTATGCAGATCGAATCTATAGAGTCGAGATACACATGAATGCATTACCCCTAAAGATGTTATTTTACAAGCAATACAAGGGATACAAACAAAATCATGCTTCCCAGAGGCGAATGAAAGCAACTTCGAAATATAATCGATTTTTTTAGGTTTTCTTATAAAAGGGCTTGTTCGAGGAAGCAAAGAGAGTTGTTAGATGTCTTCCGATTCCACTGATGATGAATCTGAACGTTCGTCAGCTCCGAACTTTCCTGAATATGAGATATGTATGAGCGAGGTATAAACTATGAAATATTTGAAATATTGATCTTCTGGTGAGCTTTTCCCATTAAGATTAAAAAATCTCTTTTTTTATTTAGAAATTAGACGGTATTTTGCCATCGCATGTCGTCAACATTGAAACAAATATGGCTATACGCTGTTTGTGTTATTTTTCATCCTTGAAAAGTTTCTTGTACAGTTACAGGAGCGATGCACTAGGACTTATAAGTGAAGATTTTAAATCTGATGTGAAGAAATTCATGGATATAAAATTTGAAAAGAACTCGAAAAATTGTTTGTTGGCTTTTAACCCAGATACAAAATGGGCCGTATCTTGGGACGGTTCTTTAATCGCTGCAAGTGCAACACTCAATCATCGTCACAGATATAATATTATCAATTTTGTTTTGATTATTTTTGCCATCCCAGATATTGAGGTCGGCAAGTTACCTAAACCGGTATATTGCATAAACTGTTTTCATGCTCACACTTCTCAAATTAAGTTCTTCCCAGATGGAAAGAGAATTGCCGTCACTATTCTTTTGAATCCTGGTTTTCCCCATGACTTGGATCGTTTTTGGTGCCGTGTTTATAAACTGCCAGACGGTTTGTGGAACTTAGAAGAATCTATAAAAGACGGACCCGACCAATGGATTGATCTTAAAGTTGAAATTAATGGAGTTGATTGCATTCAAATAGGTTGCCCTATTCTTAATGCGGATCTTGAGGCAAATGAGCGTGACGAGCAAGTGTCAAAAGAAAGACGTGAAAGTGGGAATGAAAGTGGTGTTGAAGATTATTTAGATTTGCGGGCGCAGTATCGTGCTGATGGCTTTAATTGCTTGGCTCTGTCTCCTGATGGCAGCCGTCTTTTGGCAGGAAGCACTGATGGTGAACTGTTCTATTTTGATGCGGACAGTTTAAAACTACTACAACGCGTTCGTGTTTACGATTATTATACAGCAGTTAAAAAATGCTGCTACAATCCTGCATTTGGCCGTTGGGAATTTGCAATATGTGATCGTTACGGGCTGTTTTGTGTGTGGCGCGTTTTAAATCTTTCTGACAATTCTGAAAATTTCCAATTAGCCCACCGAAAAAGGTTGGCTGTTCACCCAAAACATCACAATTACTTTGCTTTGCTTAATGATATCAGTTATTCTCCTGACGGAAAACGTATTGCTGTTACCATAGCTTGTCCGATTGATTACATTGTTAAGACATTCATTATTGGCTCACGTTCTGGTGAAATTTGTTATACGTTGGATTGCGTTGATGAACCTGATCGACAGTGTCCGAACGTTGAATGTCTGACCTCGTTCTTTGGTAATTTGTGTCAAGTTGCTTCAGTCACAGGTGTTCATTCTCGCGTTTTTTTCTGGAAGTTACCTGTTGTCTACGATTTACAAACATTGTGCTTACTCAAAATCAAAGCGTTTGTCTCTTATAATAACGTTGAGAAACTCAACATACCTTCTTGTTTAAAAAAAGAGTTGAAGTATATTTATTCTTACTGTACTTGAGAAAGACATTTAATAACTATCGTCCGTTGGGCGTTCTATCACAGCAGTAATGTTTAAAAACTGGACTTCTATTGGTTATATCTCGTAAACATGTGCACTTGAATCTATGTTGGCTAATTCATAACACTTGAGTAAATTCGATAACTAGCTTCAATTGACAATTATTCGTATACCAGAGCATTTTTGGTTGATTCATTATAATTATACCACGCGGTTGGCTTGGAATACTGGACTTCTTTTCTTTAAATTCTGTAAATTTACATAGAATGAAATATTCATTGAACACGTTTACCACATCGAGTTATGTTAATTTTCACCAAGGGCATGTGAAATAAAATTTGCAGAAAAAGTATAAAGTACATTAAAGTAATTTATAAAACACTGAAATACGTAAACACGTAATAACTAAATTATCAAGATCTTAATAACCGAGAGTGAGGTCTTTACAGAGAAATATTGCACAGAGGTTACCAAGGCAAATTTCTGATTGATGACTTTGGCATTAGTCGAAAATTGAAGAATGGTTCTAAGACATATGAAATTATGTTGTTGTTATCACGTTTGTTTTTTAGAATTCAGGAATGGTAATGTATTATGTTGCAACAAAAGGAAACATCCCTTTCGAACTACACTACATAGACAAATCAACACGTTGAATGGAAAACCTGTAGGCTTGAACGACATCAAAAATGAGGCATTGAAGGAGCTTTTGTCGTGGATTTCAAATCTACGACCCTTAGATGGACCATATGCCAAAGAGACGATGAAACAACCGTTTCTTATGTCGAATGATGAGAAGTTTAAAATGTTTTGTAAAGTAGGTAACTGTCAGTCGATTAAGATAAATGATTCCATTCAAATGTCGTTGAACAATTAAATTGTTATTCCTCAGATTGGAAAAGTCAAATGGATAGTGATATATATGATTATTTGGTAAATGAAAAGGTTTATAGTTATAAGCCTTCATGGACAGAATGCTTGAGGCTTACTCGAAATATTGGCCAACATTGGTACGATCAACCACGGCCAAGGCGACAACCAGAACCATTTTATAAGATTGGTGATCACAAGGCGTATTTCCTCAAAACATTCCACAATCTCCCTGTTCGGGTGAATGCTGCTGTCAGATCAAATGACGAAATAAAAACATTCCCAAACTCAAGAGCTTCTTCAATTTCAGTGAAAGAAAGCCAAATCAATAAACAGTTTTTAACTGCAAAAACAGTCAGTAAAATGTTAGTAGCCCGGAAGAAATCAAAGCTATCGTTTTTAAAAATCTTCTTTTATTTGAATGCAATTAAAAATATTTTTCCTGATCCAGTTGTATTATACATACTCACTTTTATGGTGAATTTAATTAATATTGCAATAAACTGATTATTTAATTTTTAATTCTTAGTTATACCTTAGAATAAAGATTAATTAATAAAGGTGTTTACGTATACATTTAAGTTTCCTGTGTTTGAGATAAAGAAAAGTACTACGTTTATCAATACAGAAAAACTAACATAACAATTAAAGTATGCGCATCATTTGTAGTAGCATATTACAGCACATTATCGTAAATCATTACACTGAAACCTTTTTGCCAGGAAATTATTTGGTGCTGTATTAAATACGGTGCCTTTAGTAGTTTGCGAATTCCAGTACTGTGTGAATTCTAATATAAGCAAGGTATTGATAAATAGACACGATTTTCTTGCAAGAAAGTAAATTGGTAAGGGAGCAAGGTTTCTCTTGTAATTACAAAAAATGCATCCAGCCAAGGTTTAGGGTCATAGGATTACAAGAGTAATACGAGAAGATGGGAGAAGCTACCACTACAAAATTTATCCGGACAACTTTACGTTAGAAAGAAATCCATTATTAGCCACAGAAAGTAAGAGATTTCTCTCTCTGACTTTATTGAGTAGAGATCATCATACATAGGACTTTTTTATATCGTACTTGTGGTAGACAAAGACAGCTGCAATATTCCATAGATTATATAGGTAGTTGTCTCATCTTTAAAAGTAAAAAATTAGAGTGGCTGAGTGCCGTATAATTCAGCAACTTGTACATAAATTTAGCCTTGCTCATATTCATGATAATTCGACACATTTATTTTTTAATTTTTTAAGTCTGGACGATTGTGTTTTAATGAACACATCCCATAATTCTTTACAGCAATCAAAAGTAAGGGCAAACTATAGCGTTGTATAGACTGAATTGTTTATAGAGTTTAGACAGAATTGTTTATCATCAAAACCTTGTAACCTCTTTATAACAAAAATCGTTGATGTGACTTTTTTGCAAATATTGTCAGTGTTATGCATTTCCACAATAAATTTTTGTCAAGTGGAAACCCCAAAGTTTTAGACTCACGTATTCTTTTGACACGATGGTGTTCAATAATTTAACATTTACTTTAAGATTCGAAATATATTATTACATTTCTTTTCAGTCAATTAAATAAACTCATCTTAAGTGACGTTAAGACTAAGCTTATGAGAAATCAGCCATTTTCTAAGGTTTTCGAAATCAGATTGCACGGAAATTGCCAGACGAGTATGGAGTCGTCAGTACCAATATCTGCAAAAAAATCGAATTTTTGTTTTTAATAGGCATTGAGACAAATCGTTCATGTATGGCAAAAAGTCAATGGCCCTAAAAATAGAATCTTAATTGTGTCACTCCACACTTAATACATTTTTCTGACAAAAAATGTATTTTTTTGACAACTCTGTGTATGACTTAAAAATAAGAATCAAAGAGCGACAAAGCATTGCGTTTTTTACGATAGAGCTCTAATTTTTTTGTTATCTAGTTAGCCAAAAATAACTGAGAAAGTGTTTTATTTAGCCAAAAATAACTAATAAAGTAATGTTATCAATAAGTTCTTTTTGTGGGAATTGTAATTCGAGAGACTACTTTTGATCTAATTTTTCTATGATGAATTCGATTTGTGCGCAGGTATAGAATTGTACCACAGAGCACGCTCACGAATTTTGTCACAGAACATTGATGACCAAATGATTCTACTCAGCATGGCGTCTTGTTCCTAGAACCACATTTGACAATAAAGCTCCCAGCGTACGCTCGAAAGTTTTGGATGAGGGCTAATCGACCAATGGAAACACGAATGATTCAAACACAATCTTAACGACGATACAAGCTCTAGCGAGGACGAGGTTCCAACACAGAAACAATTCAATTATCACACCGAGTCTACTGAAGACATTTTGAAAAGAAATATTGCAGTATCACATATACAGTTTGGAAGCTTGTTGTCTCACGTGGTATATATTAGTGATAATTGTTCATGACGTTGTTGAAAATGTGTAAAAATAACTAGAAGTGTCTTTCCTTTAGGACGAGAAATCTGATTTAAAGTGTATTCTGCAAACTTTGTATACACAGATGGAGTGTTGTGAAAAGAGTACTCTAGGGAATGCTATCGAGGAGGAATAGTACAAGGACCAACAGAGAATGTGGAGGCTTCTTCGTGAGATTGTTGAAGGATTAGTTCACTTTCATTCATAGTAGAAAAACATGTGTACAATTTTCTTTTAGCTCAGTAAATATAAAGAAATATATAAGGAAAAAGAGTTTGGTCTTTAGATACATTGAAAAGCTCGATTTTGACTTGTAAGTACCTTTTTATTGAATCGTAGTTTCGTAAAGAAAGTTACCTTTCTCGGAATAAGTATTTGTCAATACAATGATAGCCATGCTTGAACATTTCCACTCAAAGCTTTCACTTGAAAAAATAAAGATCGTGAAAAAAAACAAGCATTAAAGTGACGAAAAATTTATAGCTTATGTTTTTTAATGTCATGTAGTTTCTATAGATAGATGTCTATATCTGGAGAACGGTAACCAATGCTTAGCACAGCAGCTTCTTGGACATCCTTATATCTCTCCAATTCCCATGTCACACGGCTTAATCAAAAAACATTACATCAGAAACGCTTGACGCTGAAAAATATTGAGGGAGAAATCATAGTAGCTGTTATGATGGAGATGAGTATCCTTACTTGATCCCTATTCTTTTCGGTTCTGCTGCGAGAATTTCCAGAGTTCGGAATGAATTTAAGGAGTTCATAAAAGTAGGTGTAATTTTTAGCATATCCATGGAAAAAAATTTTCAGTATGGTCAAATTTTTTCATGTTTATTGTGGTTTAAAAGTGACTGAAAATGCCTTTTTTGATAGACCTTTTCTGTCTCAAGAAAGAGTGAAACGAGTTATTTTTGTTACGTCATTCAAGAAACCCATATACGCCACCTAGTTTGAATGACATCAGAATGTGGCTCGACGCAGCTTTTATGTCACGAAGGACAAGATCTTTTGAAAGCGAAATTTAAATCGCAGTTATAAAAAGACAACTTTATTACATTGAAAAATTTTATCACTGAAGCATTAGAAAATTGTTTTATTAATCATATTTGCTGTTAATTTTACTTAAAACACCTTCGTTCTCAATAGCAAAAAAAAGACGATTAACGAAAAAAACTAGTTCTTACAACTTTACGGTTCTACAATATTTTAATAGCCATTCGGACAAAAAGTCAAGGAATCATGAAGAGCCTGTGTTTGTTTTGAAATAATGATCTGGAAACTTTGGAATTCTCGTAGAATAATATTATTAAAAATGTATTTCTGAATTCTACCTGTAACATACATTATTTATGTATAAACTATAACGCATTTTTTTTGCACCATGAATTTGCAAAAGTTTGCCCCCTCATGTTGGAGTTTGAATTTTCATACAAAGTATTGATAATTATATGTTGAACATACAAAGTATTGATTTTTATAATTAATTGCAGTTGCAAATTGTCCTGAGAAGGACTGTTTTTGTTGTTCTTGACTGACGTTTCGACTGAGGAACTGAGTATTGGGTTGCACCCGGGACATATTGTGAAGGTAACGATTCAATTGATACAGCACGCTACAAAAAAGAATCTGATGTATATGTAGGTGTAGGAATGTTAACATTTGCATATTATACATATAGTCAAATTTGTGACATTATATTCTTTTTACCTTATGTTTTACTAATGAATATTTTTTAATATTAAACCTTAGCAAATTTGCAAATCAGCTATAAACAAGCTGGAAAAAGTGAAGATTCCAGAAATACAATTTAGTACTTAGTTATTATTGGGCAACAAAATTAAACTGCAGAAACTATCTGATTTTTAACTTGAACATTATTTTTGTTCCGATTCTGTAAAATTGACATTATGTTATTTTTCATCATGTGCATGGTGTTTTATCAACAGTCCCATTTCAACAAAGGACAACTAAAGTCACATATCAATATTTGGTGATAAAGGGTCACAGAGTGAAAAAAAGTTCTGTTGTTGAAATAAAGTCGGTCAGTTATATCTTGCCTTACAAAAGATGAATTTTATACGCTAAAAATATATTTTGAAAGCTTTAATTTTTGTTTGCTCAAAGTTTTCAATAAACATTAATGTTGGAAATGTATTTTTACCCAAAGCAATTACTCTTAGTGTACCTCCTGTGGACGTACAAATTTACTCAAAAACACTATTTTTATTTAAAACTTAGATGATATTTGTTTTAAAAGATAAATTAGATAATACCCGTCACATGTTACATACAATTGATTCACTAGCAAAGGAAAGCATCATCAATCTTTTCATATAATAGGTATCGAATAATTTTACCCATTTTATAAATTTCTGTCAATTTAGCTTTGTGCAAAGATTAGAGACCTTTCATTTGGGACAACTCAAGAGCAGATCAGTGCGAACCCGAGACGGAAAACCGAGGATTGCACTTGCTTGTGAGTATCTATAGGATTGAAGAAATGCTATTGGCTGGCTTGTTCACGTGATAAAATGTGATTGGCTAACAAAATAAACAAGCAATGGCTAATCTATTTTGTTGAAATTTTGTTATCGAAGACGAAGTACAAATCACTGTTTAAAAACCGGATTTATCCGTTTCTTTTTGCTTAAATACGTCCATGCACTGCTTCAACTAAGTTTCTTAATTTCTTTATTTCCCCATTCAGCGATGAATTCATGTAAATAAACAAATAAATTCGCGTTCGGTTGCCATTTAAAACAAGAAATTTTCTGGGACGTCAATTCTGTGCGTCTGTCCTTATATAGATCATAGCTTTTGACCAATGAAATTGCTAAAATTCTTCTGGTTATTATATGATTAACAAATAAATAAAATTTAAACGTTGACTATACAATTATAGATACACAGGTATGACGTCAATTGTGATAAAAACTAAAAAAGTTGCCACGAGCCGCCATTAGATTTAAAAAAATCTCAAATCAAACGGTCAAACAGTTTGTTGTTTGTTTTCTTTGTTCCCCAACACTTGGAACATAGAAAAGTCTTGATTTTGCAAATATCACGCTTACGTGTATATAGGATTGAAGAATCGCTATTGGCTAGCTTAATCACGTGATAAAATGTGATTCGCTAACAAAATAAACAAGCAATGGGTTATCAATTTTGGTGAAATTTTGTTATCGAGGACGCAGTACAAATCATTGTTTGAAAACCGGGTTTTTTCTTTTCTTTTTGTTCAAATGCGTTAACTACCTCAACTAGGTCTTTGTAAATATCTTTCTTTTCCCATTCAGAGAGGTATTGCGATAAATTTTCAAATATATCCGACGTTTGTCTGTTTTTATAAACATGAAATTTTCTGTGACGTCAATTATGTGTGTATGTCCTCTTATAGATCACGGCTCTGGACCAATGAAAATGCTCACATTCTTTTGGTTGTTTAAGAAATAAAAGATGTTTACTGAGCACGGGTTTATGCAAACCGAGGAGATCTTTGAAAAAAATCGAGAACAGACTAGTGCAAGCCCGATACCAACTGTCGAGGGTTGCACCTTCTCGAGAGTTCTCACAAAAGTCTCCGAGGCTTGCATAAGACATTGCAAACACGAAAAACATCTTTTATTTTTTTAATAAAATAACAGCGATGCGAAACAGGCAAACATTTTAATTTTTTTGCAAAAATGTGTTCATGATCGATTTGCAAATTCTCTTTATATGATCGATTGTTATGATTGAGAATTTTAACCTCCAGAACGCGTAGTTGGGGAATTTTGTGGCTTGTACGTGGTAGGGGAAACCTACGGGGAAAACTATAAATTGAAAGGGGGTTGTAGGGAGAAAAGAAAATCATTTAAACATGAGCCTCATTTTTGCTCAAAATACTCTTTTCTTTCAGTGTTCTCACCATTTAGCAAGTGATTGTAACAGAATCTTACTTTTGGCAAAATTTGTGACCATATATGGCAATAGAAGATCAGCAACTTAGCAAAAACTCAGTGTGTCATTTGCGCCACCTGCATGCCATTACTTCCTACGCGAAATTCTAACTTTGACGTCTAGATATTCTTAGTTTTCGATAAACCTTTTTTTGTATGCATTTTTTGAAACAGACTAAAAATTCAATGGTCTGACCCGACGTAGGTATATAATAGGGGGATATGTTGTTGTGTAGGGGAAAATTTGGGGAAAACAAGAAAAATCATCGTTGTGGGAGGTAAGGGGAAAATAAAGTTTTGGTAGGTGAAATGTGCTTACACAGAATGGCAGCACCGGTGTGGAGGTCAAATTGCCACGCCATTTTCACGAAAACTTGACGAAATGTAGTGTTTGCTAAATTACTAAATTATAAAATACGAATTTATTGAATTTCTCTGATTAAGGTAAGCCATACAAAAAATTACTACGTAACTATAATATGTTAGTTATCAAACGATACGTTTATGGCGTAATTCTTTCGTGCATCTCAAACTACGGCAATCGTTATTTATTCTGTAGTTATTTCGTTATGTAATTAATGTTTATTTTACGTTATTTATGGTTTATATGACTTTTATTGTGTTATGATTCTTTTAATTTTATCGTAGCATTAAAACTTAAGCAGGCAAAAGAACAGAACTGTAAAACAAACGAACTTAGAGCTATAGAACGACAGAATTTGGACTTGTACTACTGTAGAGTGTGAAACTATAGTAAACCTAGAACTTAGAACCCAGACCTACATAGAAATAAGAAGTAGAAACTTTGTCGAACTCTAAAACATAGAACTTAAAACTGTAGAACTACAGGAGCTAAAGCTATGAAATTGTAGAACTATAGAACCTTGGAATATTAAACAGTACTCTTAGAACTATGGCGTAGAAAAGTTCATGGACCGGTCAACCCCCCTGGCGGGGATTAATACTGGCCGGTATACAAATGTTGTTTGTTTTGTTTGTTTGTACTCTTAGAACTATGGAACCAACATTGAACTAGAAATTGTAGAACTTTAGAACATAGAGCTCAAGAACTGTAAAACCGTAGGATTTAGAGCTATAGAATTATAGACAGTATATATAATGTTTCTTGTACTCTAGCCTTGGGATATGCAAATCATCAGTTTTAAATTTAATTATCTTCCTTAAAAATGCATAAATGTTGTGTTGTAAAAATCAATGTTTTTCAGAATTGTTTCTATTCCGGTAAATGTAAAATCCTGAAGGACCAGAAATCTCATTTTGCTATACTATCCAAAGTAGAACAAAAGTAGTTGGTGTCTTAAAACATGCAGAGTTTATTTTCAATCTATTGTATTCAATTGTTTGAATTATTTCAACTTGGGGTTGAAATGACAAATAATCATTAGATCCTGAGTATTTGTGCAAAATTAATTTGCCCGATGACTGTATTTTTGCATGGGAAATTATGCAAGCCGAAACCTACCAGTACAACAATAGAAATGGTGAATATCAAGGCAGTAATACATTAATTGAGTTTTCCTGCTAAAGCAGATCATTTCATTTCAGAGGCTTTTGGACACAAGTCAATCAGCTTGGAGTTTCTATTGATTGCTACCATTTCTAGTTAGTCTGGTTGACTTTGTTATGTTGAATACTTTGCATGTTGAGAAAATGTGTGCTTGATGAACATGAATGTGCGTCATACATGTTACCTGATTTGACTGCTGTCTTTGATGTATTGATTCTATCTTTGAGAATATTATGCCTGCTTTCAACTTCAGAGCAGGTTTTCAGAATATTCAATGCCACCTATGGCAAATCACCTTAGTTACATGTCCATGGTTATTACATATGTCCCCTGACTAACAAGTTTGGCAAAAAGGCTATCTTTAATTTCAACTTCTTGAAACAAAGATATTCACCTTTATGCTGTTGCATTAGTTCAATTTCAGCTTACATCACTTTCTGTGAATGGAAATGAATGTTGGTTGTACTTGTGCATGAGTAGTCACCGAATGGATTAGTCTTGGGGTCTTAAATTATTGGCCATTTTAACACGTCAAAATATCGCAAACCAATACTATTTCAGTATATGGTAGGCTGAAGATCAAGTCTGTTTTAGTGTAATCATGTTCTTTTGTTCTTGTCACTTTGGATAATGTGAAACATGGACGGATTTTCATATTTTTTTATAGCATTGGTGCTGACAAATTTAGGGGTGAGTTGGTAAGGAAGTGACGTAAGACAAAGAGTCTAGATTTCAGGGACGTGACATTCGAATAGTGCAGTCAGCGAAGGTAGTGTAGAGAGTTGAAAACAAGCTATCACGACACAGTTCACGCAAAAAAATTTTACGAACAAACATTACGCTTGTTTCGTTTTTATTGCATAGCTACGTTGTCATTCAGTGTAGTATGAATAAAGTATAAAAAAAAAATTATTTATTTTAAATGCCCATATCAGGGTCTGGAAAAGGACTTCATTTGATAATTATATCAATTTTAAGAACATTTGATGATTCGGAAATTTTATCTTCATGGTGTTTTTTTTTGGCGTAGAAGGTGACTCTTCGCCGAAAGTGACGTAAAAAGGAGAAAACGCATTTCTACTTTTTTCTTTGATTAATCTCTCAAACGATGTAGTCAAACTATACAACAATGCGGCATCTTAAATTTGCAGTGCTTTTTTTTGAGAAGATTTGCAATAACTGAATTCCCATATTCTCCTTTTTACGTCACATCAGGTGAGGAGTCAACTACTTCTAGCCTTAAAAAGCTCATGAAAATGAAATCTTCGTCCCATGAAATATGTTGTAAATGTTGTAAATTCTATTTAATTATTTGAAAAAGTTATTTCCCTGACATCGGCATTTTAAGTATGAACTATTGAATGGTAACTGTACAGTGTAAGGGCAAAAGCATATATTCAACATTGTCCAACTAATTTCTTTTGAAATTACAAAAAACTAACATTGCGCGCAGAGCTAAATATATAAATATTCATCCACCCACCCTCCACACCCCAAATTGCGCTTTGGACCTGTGCATAAGTAATAAAATTAAAAGTTTCAAATCTTTTGCTTAAGTTAACAAGACAAGTGCCTAATCTTGAGGATAAAGTCTAAATTTCGCAAACATGTTAGTGAATTGGAAAAAATACATGCAACTGTATACTTTAAAGGACATTGGCAACGAAAATTTTTATGGCATATTTTTGAACCTTTGTGATGTCTAACAACTAAAATAGAAAAAATTTTTCTCAAAAATATTTTGTTGCTGAAATATTTGCAGCAAAAGTTTTATAAATTGCGCCATCTTATTTTGATAAAATTTTGATAAAATTATCTCGAGCGGTAGTGACGTCATTGGCTGGTGAGCAGTCAAAACAATAATACAATATACTTTGTGATTGACTGCATTACAACACATTTAAAGCGTATTTTACGGTTTTTTTTGCTGTAATGGATGACATACACGAAAATCAACCAGGTGAGGTTCTGCCCTATCAATATGAACCTGAAGTGAAGGCCGAAACTAGTGAAGAAAGCGGTTCCGAACAAGAGAGTGAGCAGAGCGACTTGTCCTCGTCGGAGGATGAAATACATGCTGAATTTGAGAAAGCAAATGCTTGGCGCCTTCAAACTCTTAGTTGGTGTAAGTGTGGACATTGTACTTTGTCGAAAAAGGCAATCGAGTGTCTTTGTTGCCACGAAAAAGCGCTTGAATACGATGAGTATGAGGCTTTGCTAGGCCAAACACAAACTCAAGGAGTAAATTGCTTGACAACACACCAAGAATTTAGGGACAATATGCTCTCAGAAAGTGTGTTAAAGATAGACGTGTGTCGGCATCTTGAAGAAAACTGGCCCCTGTCTGATGAGGATCTAGAGAGAATACACGAGCTGTATCGATTAGTTGCCTATCAAAGATGTTCTAGGTGGATTTTTCAAATTTTGGAGAGGAAACATCGAAGACCATTTCCTGCTTGTGTTTATGCTAGCATACGAAAACGCTTTGCGTCACCAGACGGACTTTGTACACATTTTAAATACGCATGTTATCACGAAAGACCGTAAATTTAGTCTTAGACAGACGCTCTTTGATGTTCTTTGTTATGATCTGCAATTGCGATGCTATATCATTGTCAAAGGATTGTCACGAACTGCGCCAAAGCAAAATGCATGAGTGATCCATCCAAAACTTGTATTCATTCATAAGTTATAAAGTTAATCGAAAAGTTTACTTGTACATTGTGCACGCAAACACGAAGTAAAACATTCTGGATAAACGAAACTCTACAGTCAAGAACAAAACATAGCGGCTTAAAGCTTATCACCTATATAAAACTACATAATCTTTCAAAGACTCTTATGTATACAAATAATAAATTAAACGTATAACTCATTTATTGGTCACAGGTTTGTAATATGGGAAAATGAAATATTTCTATTGCACGAAATGTGCAGTGTATAAAACGCGCTTGTTGTTGTCTGGGCTTACACTTGGTAGCTATGTCGGCAAAGCCTAGTTGTAAGATCTGCTAAAATAAACGTTTCTACGTCTTATAACGACTAAATATTGGAAAAGTATATAAGCGTGATAAACTACACAACTTTTGTTAATCTTAACAACCGCCGACTGTTGTTTTTGTTTTAAAATTCCAGTGAACAAATGTGCTATATATTATTATAATGCTATTATTTTATATTGTGTCATTCAGTGGATACCAGCCAATGACGTCAGTAATGTATTCCGGCATAATTTAGCATAAGGCTTTTTTTCCAAAATGGCGGATAAGGATTCAACTTTATGTCAAATTTTCTCAACAGCAAAATTCAAAAGAGACACGAAAACACGAAATTAAGTATTCCATAGCTATCTATGATAAACGTATGAAAAAAAAAATTCGTTGCCAAAGAGAAATGTGAGGCTTACTCAGATATATTTTTTTTTGGAGTACGTTTTGCTGTTTTGATTTGTTATTGCAACTGCCAACTTCTCAAACGTTAATGCACGTGTTTAAGTTTTTGCATAGACCATTGCTGCTGTTTTCATTTCGTATGGTTAGTTTTAATGCTGCGCATTCGAAGGAAAACTAAAAAGACAAAATGTCTCGTTTTTGAAATGTAAGCTACATTATGGTGCCGGAACTTATATTTAATTATATTTAAAATATCTATTGTCAAGTGGCTATTTAAACTCCTTAATTAAAACTTAAGTACCGCACAAAACTTTCTCTTTTCTCTAATTTTTGAAACAATACCCAGAAAAGTTAAGTTTAACTGTAATACTGATTGGTTTTGCTAGAAATTGTGGATGTGTTAAAATATAACTTCAGAGTTTAAACAGTTTAGTTAGGCTTGTGGGAGGGGGTTGAAATTTAATAATTGGGTTGTGGCATCATCCTGGACACCCCCTCCTCCAGAGAGAATCTGTCCAAGGTTTGAAAAATTGTAAATTGACTTGCCTTCGGTTCGTGTTTTGTGTGCTTTTCTCAACTCTTGCTTTTTTCCTCGTGTTTGGATCACACCATTCACCCAAGTATGGAAACCATTAAGTGATTGCTTAATAAAGTAATAACAAGAGGGTAGAGTTTTAAGTTAAATACGTCTACAACGTAGAATCAACGAGGTTCGAGACTTCAAAGGTTTAGCAAAAGTTTTTAAAATACATATTACACCGTCGCATGAATTTTTCGTGGAATATTCGTTGTTTCCGTTTCTTGTTTCAGAGATTCGGGTTTTTTCCATACTTGTCTTTTGCATTCCTCATTTTTGGTCGGCGTTTATATCATATAGCGTTACCATGATTTGGCGTCATGTTATTAAAATTGAGTTTTGATCATGGTATTTCTTCTCTCAACGCTAGTCTGTAGTCTTGTATATCTGAGACCCCATCTACATAATTTGATTGACTTTTGGCAATATCAGTTTACTTAATCTTCTGGAATAAAAGTAAAATGTGTACACGAATAAACACGAGGAGGAAAACAAAGTGTACTTAGAGTCGCTAGAGTATACAAGACTAATGAACTTCGTCGTACGTATGAGGTTTTAACTTTCAACTTACTTTTGCCAAAATTTTGTTCTTTATTTTTAGTTTGAAAATGGCTTCACACCTATACGCTTTAAAAATGGAGGAAAATGGATCTCGTTTGAGAAAGCTTTTAATAGATAAAGGAACACAAGCCTTCAGAGAAACATTGCAATCTCTTATAAAACCATCAAATTTAGCTGCTAAACTTAATAATCCTTTTACCATTACTAAATTGCAAACACTAAAAACGTTGAAAATCATCTCTGAAGAGAATTGGGATCTTCTTTACCCAGCATTTAGTTTTCCGGACGTTGAAAACTTTTCTATCACATTATTGTTTACCTTATTACAAAACATATGTGGTCTGAATCAACCAGCTAATGGATGGTATGGTCTTCCTCCCCCTTCAGATTCTTCAATCTCATCAAATATTGCAAGAATAAGGTATTACAGAAACAAAGTGATGGGTCACATAATTACAACTAGTCTTGATGACAGCAAGTTTGAACATATGTGGCAAGAAATATCAGAAGCATTGGTTGGTCTGGGTATTCAAAAAATTGAAATCATTGAATTAAAGTATGCTCCACTCACTACTCATGAGGCCTATTACAGAGGAATGTTGAAAGACTTGCAAACAAAACCTGAACTGGATCTGCCAGGTAAAGTTTTTTCTTAGATTGATATGCCTAATGATTTCTTGCATGTGAAAATTTTAGAATTTGACAAACCTTTTCAGGAAAACGTAAATTTCACCTTTTCGCGTCAAACTAGCTAAAAACAAAACACTCGCATTTTCTTCGGAAACCAATGACATTCTGTTTAAAGCCAGGGCGTATTTTGAGACTGAGCAACAAATGTTCCCACTGGTGCGCATGATCTAACCATGTTAGTTGACATGTTTATAACCCTGTCCAGTTCCATAGTTTAGCTATATTTGTAGTGCTTGATCATATACTTTGTTTTTTATGGAAGCTGAGGAAACTCACGGTAGCTTGCATTCGAACTTTTCATTTTAGTTTTTAAAGTTTTTACTTTAGTGTTGTTTCAGATAATAATAATAATCAGTAACTATATAGCAATATGAGAATGTTAACTTTTTATGAACAGGTTTAGGAGTTCATCTTATGCTTCACTAGTTATAATACAAATATAGTTGGTTAAATTTTGCACGCATCTAAATGCCAGTTGCGTGCAGTATATCGTAAAGCAGGATAGTTAGCTAGTAGGGGTAGAATTGGATGGTTAGCAGTTTATTCTTTCACTTCGTCTAACATCATGACTGTAATGTCTAGGATTTATCATACGTATTTTGACGCATGGAAAATAGTTATCTGTATTATAAATATGATACTCTTCTGGCTCGTCGGAAGTTATGTTATTGAAGAGGGTTAGGAAAATAGTTATCTGTATTATAAATATGATACTCAAGTTGAAGGGCAACTTAGGGCCTGTTCATATGAGCCGGGCTGGCCCGCTGTAGCGAGATCTCGCCTCTTTTAGTATTAACATATTATTTCAAATTTGATTCATATGAGAGGCAGGCCGGCCCGTCTTGCCGGGATCTCGCTTGAGCGAGGCGAGACCTCGGCATAAACGGGCTCATGTGAATGCACTAGGCGGGCTAGCCCGGCATGCTGGGCCAAGATTTATACTAGTGCGCATGCTCATGAAATTCAATTTGATGCAAAATAGAGGGCAAGCAAAAGAACAACTTTCGGTGGACCATAAACTAGTGCATGACATCATTGAGTTTCTTTCAGCTTATATTATAAAAGAAACATGAAATATCGGGATTTATATTTTTATGCTGCGTGCGTGATTAAATATTTTTGTACTTGTCGGGCAAGCCCGCCTCACATGAATCAAATAATAAACTGGCGAAAGGGTGACAAAAAAGCAATGCGCTTGGGGTATTTTTAAAAATTATTCTTGCTATCCAAACTTTAAGAAATACTATTAAAATATTGATTCAGTATATTTATATTATTTTACAACGACAAAGAGCTTGCCAAAGAAAGTTTGTAATAAATTGACTCCAAATGCAAATGGCGAATATAGCTGTCTTCAGCATATAAATTTATCCCATAATAACACGCACACACTATAATCCATCGCAAATATTTTTTGGCGCTGAGAACCGATGGAAATAAACTTGATCACCATTTTCATTCTTTTTCATCTAGTTTGGATAGCGACAATCGTTGTTACAAGCTCAACAAGCGCATCACATTTATGCCTTTGTTTTCTACTAGTCCTCATTAGTGACACTACTGATTCGATATTCACATTTTCCTGCGTCTATTAATTATAATTGACTGTAAGAGCTACCCATATTGCTAGCAGAACAGTTGTTGTTTATAAATAATTGAAAATCATATTTGCATCATAAAACAGCCAAAAGAGCACGTTAGTTCTCGAAATTTTTCAAGTTAAAACATTCAACGGCCGTATAAGAATATATAATAGAGCTGTGACAATGTACGCAACGTTTACATTTTCTACCACGTGACATGCGAAATTACTACACTTGCTTCCTTTTGGCGAAGTGTTGGATTGTTCTTTTTGTCGCACAATCTGTATTTTATTCTTTTTGTCCTCAATTTGCATTTTATTATTTTTGTCGGTAGTCTGTATTTTTTTGCGCGTCCGTCCGTCTGTTTGCATCTGCATTTTATCCCAACCCCAAAAATGATATTTAATTTACAGATTTACTGATTTTATACTGAATGTATAAAACAAACTTTTTTGTTGCAAACGTGATTCGGCAAATTTATGCCGTCGTCAGTGCAAACAAATGAGCTAAGTTACATGTAGACCTGGAGGAGAAGAGGGTAAAGATAACCCAACAGGGAAATTTATGAGACCAACTTATTTTAGTCGATTTGGAGGCTCTGATTTCAAAAGTCCATGTCATACGGGCGTCCACGGCGGCGTTTGCCTACAATTTTAAAGTAAAACTTCTGCAAACCATTATTCAAAATAGAGTTCACTGGTGTAAACATAATCTAATGTAGTGATTTTAGCATTTTAAGACTGTTTTGGAGTTTTTTGAAGCTTTGAGCGTTAGAAATTTCGCGAAATTGATATACGTAGCAAATCTCAACTTTAGGAAATAATATAAAAACAAATTTAGGTTAGACTTGATTATTCTTACAATTGATTAAGAATTTCAAATCAAGCAGAGCTTTCTCATAAAGTTGTTGTGATCTTTGATAGCGTATGCATAGTTTGTGTAAATCAGAGTCGGTGTTTCGGAGTTTAGACCAAAAGCCATGACCAGCCGACAATTTAAAGAAATATAATATAAAGCAAATTCCGAAAAATTTGTCATTCTGTGTGAGGATGACTTTGAAATACGTCGAAAATTTACAGTTCACTTCTTGTCTTGTTTTGATATATAAAAACAACATACACATGTTTTAAGGTAAATAGGAAAACAAGTTGACGATCGGCATGGACTAGTGGAAGCTTTATGTTTTAGCTTGTTTAATCTTTGTTGAAATAACTTGCACACAAGTGAAGCCAAGAGAAAGCTTTGCAACCCTTGTATTGACGGCAAGTAAAACTCATGCCTTGTTACTCTTCAATCACAATTAATTGAATGGAAACCTCGGGTAAACTAGTCAACATCAGCAAAATGACTAGTGTTTAAGTGATATGACAAAACACAATATACCGATGCATAGGTAAAGGTAAAGCAGAGTATATTAATTGAGGGCAGAGGGAGGTGTCAGAGAGTGATGTGTACAGAGGAAAACCAAGGAGGTGCACTGAAAGAGGACAAGTGGAACCTTAATGCTTTGATTTGTTATTGCCTGTTTTCTCTAGATGATATATGGCAAAGCAACAGAAAGAGAAACATGTAATCATTTACTGTTGAAATTTACGCTTGTGTGCGAGGAAGTCATAAGTCCTGCATTTTTATAAAATATAGATATGGCTATATGACGATAGGCTTATGAATAATCGGACTAAAAAAATGCATGATTTGAGAAATAAAGTATTTGTATTTATTGCTTGTTATAGAAGCAATGTTTCAACACTAGAAAGAAATTTCGTTTCATATTATATACATTTTACACGTAGTTTTCAAATTTGAAAATGACGTGAGTAATGAGCAAACATCACCCAGATGTCAGACAATAATGTCAATAATGAAATATCGAATTTTAAACTGTTTGTGTACGAAATGTATGCAATGGCATAAGTATGAAACTTTTACCATAGTTTCTGAGTAGCAGCAAGTTTAAAAAATATTTAAAAAAGGATGATTTTTTATAAGCAAACATGTTTCAACATTAAGAAAATGCCATCTTCTGTACGAAATGATTAGTGCTACGAAATATGATAAAGTATAGGAAGATACGATATGAATAAATTGTTTACACTGAATGGGAATGTGATGTAATTAAAAGGCTTTTTATTGGTTTTATCTTAAAAGTCGGTAGCTTCCATTACATGTAGCGATCTGTTTTACATCCTCTAGTTTTGAATCTAACTCCTTTCGAGCAACTTTATTCTTAATTCAGACGACTGACATTTATGAATTACTTGGTCTCGACTATGCTCTGAAAATTGATCTACAAAACTACAATTTTCTGTGTGTCGTCTCAGCTTGATCACAAATTGATCGATGTGTAGTATTATTTACATGTAGACAAATCTAAAAATCCTATCTGTTATTTTATTTTTACAGATAAACTGCACTGCAATCGACTAATCACAATCGAGAAATAAGTCAAAGCGTATTTTTGCAATCTATATTACATGGTTTTTATGGGTTTGATTGGAATCCACCACTTTCGCCACTTATAATTTCGTATGTCACGTGGTACAAATTGTAAACATTGCGTACATTGTCACAGCTCTATCACATATTCTTATATAGCGTTGACTGTTTTTGCTTTAAAAATTTCAAGTATTCTTTTGGCAATTTTGTGATACAAATATCTTTTTTAATTTTGTTATAAATGGCAGTGGTTCTGTTAGTTGTATGGCTGCTAGCTTCTATAGTCAATCATAATCGACTTTAGAAAATGTGAATACTGAATAGTGTGGATGGAAACGATCTTTAGAATGTTATGTCCTTTGTGTATTTCTAACAACGATTCTCGCCATACAAAATTGATGAAAAATAATATAACTGGTAAGAAAGTATATTTTTTAAAGTTATGCACCATAAAAGTGAAATTTTGCACCATATTTAACTTTATGTCTGATTTAAATTAGCTACCTCGTCACATAGCTAACCCAATTCTTTTTATGTGACCCCAAGATCATTAACCAGAAGCAACTTTAATCATTTACCTATTGTCTGTTAAAAAGATAGTTGTGTGACGAAACTGCCCTAAGAACACATGAATATTTGAAAATTTCTGAATTGAAAACAGACATTGCCGTATGAAAATATATGATAGAACTGTGAACAGTATAGGGAATATACAGTAGGTCCATATCGTGTGCAACTCGCTGCTGTATTTATAATTAGATTATTGGCTTCCGTTAGCTATTTTATCATTCCTATTGGTCTAAAAATGCAATTGAGTGGCTGCCAGTACGGTAATCACAAGCATAATAAGATATGCGTTGCACGAAAAAAGTCAATGGAGTGGCTCTACTGTATATTCACTACACTGTGGGTGTGACTATGTACGCAATGTTCAGAGTTTCTAGGTACCAGCTGACATGCGAAATATTACTCAATTTTCTAAGCAGAACTTCCTTGCAGCAAGATTGTCTTACATGTTGTTGAGCAAGTTTCAAGAATAAGAGGTAGACATAGAGTAGAGTATGGCCGTGTTTACATGAGACCGGAACGAAGTCAAACCGCGCTACCAGCTTGTGTCGGTCATAATATTATTTACAGTACATGTTTCCATCGGACCGTTGCGAAAATGACTCAAAGCGAACTGAAGTCGTACCGCCTTCTGAACCGATCCGACTGAGTTCAGAACGGTATGAAGGGAACCGGCATCAATGTAAACTTAAATTACTGTTCAGACCGGTCTGAAATGGCATCAACGAACGAGCACAAAAGCAAATTACAAAAGCAAAATGGCTGGCTAGCGTAAAAGTAGCCTGCAAAGGAGGCATTTCGTGAATGAGGATTTTTCGTGATTTCGTGCCGGTCCCATGTAAACATGCAACAAATTCTGATTTTTATTCCGGTTTGACTTCGTCCCGGTCTCATGTAAAGAGGGTCTACGTAGATAGGGTGAAGGCAACTATCAGTTATGTACACAGTAAGAAGCGTAGAGAAAAACCAACGAATAGGAGGTGTATGAATACACTGAAGGAAGACAAGGGAACCTCTACTTTATTATCATCATGAATGACGAAGCTTAGCTTTAGTTAGGAAAGTGCTCATTTTTAGCAATTTTCTTACAAACATTATCTATTCATACGGTTTTTGTTATTGTAAATTAACCATAAGCCAAACGTTTCCATGCAACGGAGAAGAGGAATCATGCTATAGAATGTAGAGGAATGAGTAATGAGGTTACACGAAGGAGAAGTTCAGATTGATGTAGAGTGTATGTGGAGGGGGTGGAGAAAAGAGTCCTTTGTGTTAAAGGACAAAATAATTTAAACTAATATGAAAAGAAAGGTCTTTAAGACAGTACAAATCCAACATTGTTGTATGGTTTTGAGATAGTGGCAATGGGAATAAGACAGATGGCGGAGCATGGAGGTTGATCAAGTAAAAACTCTTTAATCGGTCATTTCATTAAAAGTTTAGTAGCAAAGATTAGAGACTTTATCTAAAAGGCAAAAGAGTGAAAAAATCGTTTGTTGAAACAAAGCCGTTTTTTATATCTTCCACTATAAAATATAAACTTAAGTATAAGAAATAGCTACATGCTTCAAAAACTTTAATTTTTCTACACTAAAAATAACTTTGTAAGCATTGCGCTGTTTAAACGAAAGTGCTACATTAAATTAAAAACAACATTTTTCTGTATCGCTTGCCTTTAATCTTAACACATATATGTTTGCATGATTGATTAAATTTTGACAACTTTAATGATTGGTGCTAAGATTTTACAAAAATTTAAAGTCGTTATCCAAATTTTAGTCGTATTTGAGTAAATTTGAGCTATCTATTCTTATGAATTTGATTAGTTTTGTTGCACTCACCTCTGAATGTAATACTTTTATGTCATTTGAAGAATGGCAGTTACAAGAGTTGGAATATGTTGGTCATTCAGTTCAGCATAGAAGTCTGTTGTCAAAATTGTGTTATCCCGTAGCCGACCTTAAACATGTGGGCAATGTTCGTGTAATTTTCTCGGAGATGTTTAGTCTCGGCGAAGGAAGTAATGAAACCCGTGTTTATCTTGGACTGACAAACGATGGTTACGGTAAAGCAGTGAAACAAATGCGTAGAGATAACTACCTCCAGCCTGTACAGCATGAAAAGAAAATTTTAAATGAATTCAATGCAAAAAAGTCGAATTATGTTGTGAATTATTACTTCTTTGAGAGAGATACTGGAACAGATTATGTTTATTTAATTACAGACTTATGTGAGGAATCACTGGAGAAGTTTGTGAAATATTCTTCTTTAAGTGATCTTCAAAAAGCTCTTCCAGATCTTCTTAGAAATATTTTGAATGGATTAGCTGATCTTCATAGTGGCCCAGATCCTATTCTTCATCGGGATTTGAAGCCTTCCAATGTTCTCCGTGACGTATACGGCAAATTTCTGATAGCTGACTTTGGCATTAGTCGAATGTTGAAGAATGGATCTAAAGCATACAAAAGCAAGTTTAATAGGGGAACTGAATATTGGATTCCTCCTGAATCATATTGTGAAGACGAAGAATCAAATGAAGCACGTAATGAAGAATTAAATGAAGGACGTTACAAAAAAGAGTCTGATGTATATGTAAGTGTAAAAATGTTAACATTTACAAAACTCACAGCGAAATTTAATTTTGTGAGATTTTAATTTTGCTGTTAACGCTACATTTTTTATTATCTTAGAATGCAGGAATGGTGGCTTATTATACTGCAAGAAAAGGAAAACATCCTTTTGGAACTAAACGGCATAGATTGAACAACATGTTGAATGGAAGCCCTGTTGGCTTGGACGAAATCAAGGATGAGACACTGAAAGATCTTCTATCTTGGATGTTAAATCTAAAACCTGAAGATCGGCCATCTGCCATTGAGGCGTTGAAACACCCATTTCTTATGTCGGATGACGATAAGTTTGACTTTTTATGTAAAGTTGGAAACCAACAGCCAATAAAGACGAGCGACACCGAGTCAAGTGTAGTCAAAAAATTAAATAGCAAGTATTCAAATTGGAAAAGTTTTATGGCCACTGATGTATATGATTTTTTTAGAACAGACAAGGTAAATGGAAAAATGTATGAGTATGGGCCTTCATTGACAGAATGCCTTAGACTAATTCGAAATATTGGCCAACATTGGTGCGATGGACCTCTACCTCAACCAGAGCTATTTTATAAATTTGGCAATCACAAGGCTTTTTTTCTCAAGACATTCCCCAATCTCCCTGTTTGGGTTCATGCTGCTGTGAGGTCAAATGAAGAATTTAAAAACAATGCAGAACTCAAGAACTTTTTTAATGAAAGCGAACCACGTTAATGAACAGTTTAAAGAGAAAAGAACCTGTTTGAAGGAAAGACAATGAACAGTATTTGTATGAATGTAAATTAAAAACTTTACTTCCAAGTTCGATACGTTGTAAGAGTGGTGTAGCTAAGCTAGCTTCGATAATGGCGAGGGGAGAAAGTCATACGTACTTTACTATAATTTGCATACAACAATTGATTTCAAAGGATTTTAATAAGACAGTATCCACTTCCAGCCGACAATTTGATATGTAAAGTAAAATAAATTCCGAATATAATATGTATCTTAGCTCGATATCTGAGATGAAAGAGAAGACAATAATGTTATTGATAAAGTAAATGCTTTGAACTCTGTAGTACCGTTACATGTTTGTAGATGTAGATTTTCTAGGTTAGTAGAGTCCTGAGAAGGACTGTTTTTGTTGTTTCTGACTGACGTTTCGACAACCTTAGCGGTAGTCATCTTCAAAGTCAAATGAGGAGTAAACGATTCTTACGTCATTGTATTGTGTGTACAGGAATTGTGTGGATGTCAATTGTGTATTGTTATCGTGGATAAGTGTGAAGTGTAATGTTTTTAGTTGCTCGTTTTTTTGTATTGTGAATAAGACTTTTGGGGGGGTTGTTCCAAGTTGGTTTACCAACTTTCTAATGTAAGCCGTCGTCTATAGTCAGTGCTGTAAGTAATACATTTTGCCGAGTCGCAGTAAATGTTGCGTTTTGTCATTCGGTGATGTTTGGCAATGTGATTAGTTTTGTCTTGTTTCTTTTAAGCTCGTTTGTGTTCAGTAAGTCTTATGTTTAAGTTCCTGCCAGTTTCCCCGATATTGGAGGCGTGGCAGTCGGAGCAGTTTATTTTGTGATTGGTTTATGTGCGACACGTATGTTGTATGGTCGTAAGATATCCGAGATAGTCTCAGACGTTCCTTTGATATAAGATGCCGTTGCCCTTGTCGTTAAGTTGTTCGTTTCGTTGGGATTATTGTGTTTGTAAATGTTGCATTTGATAAATTCAGAGTTATAGCTGTTTTTGTCAAAAACACGTTTGAGATAGTTGTCTTCGTAATAAAGTAAATGGTTTGAATCCGGGAGTATCGTTACATGTTTGTAAATGTAGATCGTCGAGGTTGGTATAGTCCTGAGAAAGACTGTTTTTGTTGTTGTTGACTGACGTTTCGACAACCTTAGCGGTAGTCATCTTCAGTAATCATCTTTGACTTTGAAGAAACAATTTTTCGAAGTGTAAACCAACAATAAAAATGCAAAAATATATAGCACATAAAATGTAAAATAATAAAAATTTTCTCTGATGAGTCTCATAGAGTCTCTATACATTCTCAACAAATTAGTATTACCAAGTCATTGATATTATCATTGATAAATAAAGTCGTAGCTGCCTTGGATTTGGAATTTGCAGCGGGCACAATACGTATGTATGTATTGTATGTATTTCTTTTATATATGTATTATTGTATTTATTTGCGCTGACGGTTCTTTGCGGATCAATTACTGCTAATTCACGTAAATTGTAACAAAGTAAATGGTTTGAAACCGGGAGTATCGTTTGTACATGGAAGATCTACATTTACAAACATGTAAATTGTAACGTTGGTTGATTTCAAGCGATTGCAGTCTTTATAAATTCTGTAGAAATATGCTAATAAAAGCAGAAATTGGTCGTTAGTTAAAATGTCAATCCCTGATCACTATGCTAACCTAAGCCCAAGAATGTATTATTTTGCAGATTTCGCTGTTAGATATTATTTTTATTTACTACGACTCTGGGAGCAGAAAAGCTTTTGCGTCTGTAATAAGATATGTATGTAATATATGCATGTAGCTGACAATACTTTATGCATCCGTGGGCTTAACATATAGTAATTAAAATTATCACAATACGTCAATTTCTAAAGGTCTTCCATTTTCATACACCTTGTATTTTGAGTTTAGACCACCGCTGTGTACAATTTACGTTGCTTTGTCTTTGTCGTCTTCGATCGATATGTTTACCTTTTCTGTGTATTTAGTCATCGATTCCTGTTTTCTAACTTTACTCCCGTAAGTCTAAATTTCTTTCTTGTTTTTTCAATCATGTATAACGAAAAGACGAATCTCTTCTTTTGCGTCTGGGCTGTAAATGTGACGTTCAAAATGATTTCCGGTGGTGTGTTTGTATACTCTCTAATATACTCGGAAATATTTTAACCATTGTATATCGCTAACACATAAAACTACTGCGTAGTTTGGAACGAACGCAAAGGCAATTTCATCTAAAACATTTAATACAATTAACATGAAGTTTGTAATGACGTAATGTAGATCAGATTATAATTAATGATCTCGTGTTCAAGCTACCACAAACCATTTAATCCTACGATAAAACTTATGTCTGAAGAACAAATTTCTGCCGTTCACTAGCAACATTTGGGCTCTTTTCGGACAACCTCATGAGGTTGATAATCATTTATGAATTTCGAGTGCATAGGTTTGTGCTTGCAATGAAATAACTCGACAAATAATCCAGTTATTATAAAACAAGAAGCATAATTTAATCTATTCATGTTTCTTCGTTTTAGTGATATGATATAAATGGCTTGAAAACATTGTAAACGAGTACATTTTTTATTTATTGTGGGCTTGCATGACTAACCACGGTGCGTTTAGTATGAGCTTTATACATAATGAATATCAAATTTACATGCCTCGTTCATATAGTCTTTTATAATCAATGCATGCATGAGACATATTAAACCTAAATTTTGTCATACATGACTATAACTCTTGTTATTTGCAATAATATTCGATAATATAATATAATATAATATAATATTCGTTAATTGCAATAATATACTGCTTTATAAAATCATAACGTATTCGATAATATAATATTCGTTAATTGCAATAATATACTGCTTTATAAAATCATAACGTATTATCTGATGTCATGTCCATATTCAACCATAATTTGAGATCAGAATTCAAAGTAATATACGGGGTGTTTCAAAAAAGTTGCAAATACCATAATTTGTACACACGACATCATTCAATAGAATTGCAATGCCTGAGAAAACAATTAAAAATTGAGAGTTGAAAATAAATTTGCACATACAGTAGATACAATAGGACAAAATGGAGAAAGTGGAACAGAAATTGTTGTTTGGCTATGACACTTGACGTAGGTGTTTTTCTAATTAAATTGTGATGTCAAATTGTAGTAATTATGGGAAATTTTTGCTGGTGTATATGGATTCTGTTTATATAAATCCATGCTTTTAATTGAGATTTATGTGTCCGCGCAGATTGACAACGTAGTTGCCAGAGGCATCTCCATAAGAAATGTACGTGTTTCTTACACTGTTATCGTTAATATTGATGTTGATATCGGCGGTGTAGCAAGTTTCTCTATTGTGCATTAGCACCATTAAATTAAATATGTAACTGGAAGGGTTACTTTTGGATAAACATGCTTGAACCTGCATGAAGCCAGATTTTAACCGCTTCTCTGTGGGTAAAATAACGTCTTTTGATTTACTGTTGTAGAAAAACGTTTTGGGCCATGCTTATAAAGATTGGAACTAGCTCAAATTTCTTGCTTCAAAATTTGAATTCTCAAATAAAAAAAACTTACAATATCTGCAATATTACATCAATATTAACATTTTTTCCAAAAATACACTACAAATGTTCATTGAAAATTTTTTATTAGTTTTCTTTTAAAATGGTCAAAAAATCAAATTTGTCAATGTCTGCTACGCTCAATGTCGTTTTATGTTAGATTAATGTTAGATCTTTTCATTGCAGACAGTTCTCATTAATATGTTAGACTGTCTGTTAGATAAGCCAATGTTTGTTGATATGAAAGCATGTATCTAGCTTCCATTACATACGATAAAAAATCATAGGCAACAACGAAGTACATGTTAAAATGGCATATATGAACTTCGCTGGAGTAGCGAACTCTAAAACCTTAGGAATGGCTTGTTTTCAACAGGCATCAAAAACTTCTAACCGTTCTTCGTTCTTGGAGTGTTGAGGATGACAGGAGCAATGTGATAAAGTTATTGAAAATGGTGGACGATTTAAAGATAAAGAATGTATCCATTTTACTATGACAAGAGTTGATGAAAAAAAAGAGTGAATGCGATTGTCAGAATTGTACTGAATTTTCTTATAAAGGTCTGTATAGTGTTCAAGTAAATATCGCTTTAATTAATGCAGCTGTGTGTGTTGTTATTGTGCGTGTTACATTTCTGTCTTCCTTCCACTAACTGTTTTATCAATCAGATTCATGAAGCTCGCAAATCGTATAATTCAAAGTAATTTTATTTGATCTGTAATTAAACTTGATTACATAATAAGTTAACAACAAACTTTAAGCGAAATACGCTTAATTTACTTACTTCTGTGGCGAGCTTTGTAATTTACATCGAAAAACAATAATATCACTCATAAAAACTTTCCTTAATGTGGCTTTTGCGCCAAAAACATAACATCAACTAAAATACATCTGTCAAATAGATATGTTACGTAATATTACGTGAAGCTATGTAAATACCCTCCCCCACCACCAAGTTTGTGTTCCTTTAAATGTTTGAAAGGTAATCTTTAATTTTCCTCGTAACCCTCTGATGGTAAAAGTACCACCATCTTCGTGATAGGCCTTTCGTATGTTGAAGAATTCATTTTGATTTTGACATTGCGAATTCTGCCATCTTTTCCTGGAAAAACGTTCACTATCCGTCCAATGACCCATTTTCCACGAACAGCATTTATTTCTTGCACAATAACTATATCGTCTACCCAAACGTTTCTTTTCTCCGTAGTCCATTTTTTTCTAGGTATCAGTGACGGAAAGACATCCCTTGACGAACCTTTCCAGAAACTATCTATAATCTTCTGGACAAATTCCACTCTATGTCGAGGGTTTTTAGTTTCTAAGAACGGACCCTGTGGTATTGATGACGATGATCTACCGAGAAGGATGTCATTTGGACCCAAATACGCTCCGTCGTCGGGATCATTTGGGAGTCTTCCGATGGGTCGTGAATTCAATGAATTTGCTGACTCCAACAAACACGTATAGAACTCGAACGCGGTTCACCGATTGCTAACTTCAGCGCTCTTTTTGCACTTTTGACTAACGACTCCACGCAGCCGTTGTGATGAGGTGCTGTTGGTGTGGTGAATTTCCAGGTCATACCCTTCTCTGCACCATATTCTTCTAATTTTATCTGATCTCGCCCTTCAATCATTGCCTTTAATTCAGCACCGACGAGTTGAGAACCATTATCACTCATTATAAGACTGGGTTGCCCACGAAGGGAGAAAAATCGTTGCAACGTTTTTAAAAATTCCATTGTAGAATAGTAAGTGCCATTTCTGGGTGTTTCGGGTGTTTAAGCAAGTGAAGAAAACTCCGTAAATCTTTGACTTCTTGTTTGCACTAGACTTGACGTGATAAGGACCAAAACAGTCACACGACGTGTGGTAAAATGGTGGTGAATGTGTCTTCAGACGTTTAATAGGAATATCGGCCATATATTGCTCTTCGGTTTTTGCTTGTCTTTTACGACATATAACACAGCGGTACTTAACAGCGGTACTTAACAGTACATAACTTGTTCATATATGATTTAAAAGAACACGTGGATACAGATAAAAAACAAACAAAACTACAGCATCTAGAGGGACCTCATCAAACAAATTCCACCTCCTAACAAAAACCGAAAAACCTGCTATATTTTTTTTGAAAAAAGACTACTAATCCTAAAAGGACATAAAAAGAAAATTTAAATAAACGCTCTGAACTTTTTAGTGCATGCCTTCGTTAATTTAACTCCTCGTAACGAATTGTATACACAGTGAATAATAAATAATCTGTCAGTTGCCTGAAGACCGCCCTACTGCGTGAAACTCCTAAAAAATTACAGCTATTGTCTATTTTATATATATATATATATGTATAATTTAATAAATTACATTTCTTAAAATGTTGCTACTCGGAGAGTTTTGGTTTCATGCCAAAGCAATCTTCAGGCAATGTAACCTTTTCTAACTTTAAATACTGTTTGTTAAAAATGCTACCTTGCAGGAAAACCTTGAAGTAGCATTAGAAGTACAAAATGTATGCCAGGAATGATTTGAAATAGATAAAAATATAAATGAAGATGATTCAGAAGAAGAGGAAAATATGGATGTGGTTTGTAATATCTGAGTATGGCGTTGAAATAATTAAATTAATTTTTTAAAATGTTATTTCTAAAATAATTAAATTTTAGTCTATTTTAGATTGATGAGGAAGAATCTGTTAACGAACAAGAAGAGGGAGAGAAATCTCACCTGTCATGGGAAACCTGCGTAGCTGAATTAAACATATTGGCTGAAAATGTTAACCACTGCAAAAAAACTGTCACTGAAACGTTGTCCTCAGAAATAGTGTTTACTCAAGAAATTGTAATGCATGTCCTTGAATACGTAAAGAAGATTAGTAACATGGCCATACGTTTACAAAGCAATTGTGGGGATATTCTCCAAGCTATTTGCACTGAGAAATCGCAAATTGGTGTTTTGGAAGAAGAAAATGATCTTGGCCTGCTGCTTGATCCCGCCTACCGTCCAAAACTGTCGACTGATTTTCAGAAGAAAAAAATAATTGAGAATGGCCCATACCAACCAAAGCTCAATCGTTACCCTGAGAACAGTACCATTGCGCAACACAAACAACGTATGTTTTCATCAATTTGGTACAAAGAATATCCCCATTTAGAGTGCAGTATTAAGGTCGACTATGCATATTGTTTTGTTTGTGCTCTTTTTCCGAGTGGACCAGGAAGAAAGAAAGCGTCAGATGCCTGGGTTACTGGAGTTCGATCATGGGATAAGATGAGAAGCGTGAGTAAAAATAAAAAAGGAAAGATGCAACAGCATTTCTTTTCCGAGTCCCACAAAATTGCTTTGAGTGATTTGGCACATTTTGCCTGCAATATGAAAAACGTCGATGTAATGTTGGAAAAGAAGTTAAGAGAAGTAAGAATACAAGAAGAAGAAAACAATTTGCGAAACCAAGAAGCCATAAAGATCCTTTTATACATCACAATAACATTGGCACGACAACAGCTAGTTTTCAGAGGGCATGATGAAAAGCACGAGTGAAACTTTATCCAACTAACAAACCTTGTTACAAGGCATAACCCTAGACTTCAGTCATGGCTGTCAGACAAGAACATGAAACCTTATTCAGTAAAATACCTATCACCTATTTCACAAAATGAGTTTATTAGCCTTTTGACTGAAGATGTAAAGAATCGCATCGTAAAAGATATCGTTTCATCTGAAATATACTCACTCATGGCTGACACGTCTCCTTATACTTTAAATACGGACGCCTCGTAGTGGCAGTGCGCTACGTTAAAGAAAACAACCTGCCCAATGATAGAATACTGGAGATGAAAGAAACAAGGAATAAAACAGGTGAAGGCCACGCAAAAGAGATTCTTGATTCAATTAAATCACGATTACCTATTTGTCACGATGAGTTAGTGTATCAGTCTTACGACTACATAGCTTCAATGTCTGGGACTTTTAATGGAGTTCAACAACATTTGCAGGAAATGGTTGGACGCAACATTGCACACATCCCATGTCAAGGCCATAGGTATGTGTCAAATGCACAGTATTAAACATTGCCGTACAAATTACTAATTTTCGTTTAGCTACAACAAGAGTTAATGAAAAAAGAAGCTCAATGCGGTTGTCAAAAATGTATTGATTTTTCTTATAAAGGTCTGTATGGTGTTCAAATACGGTTTTCTTCAATTAATGTAGTTGTTTGTGTGTTATTGTCGAAATGTATTAACATATCTCGGTAAATTCGCCTTAAACATAGCAAATAAGCATATCTAAGTAGTTTTTCTCTCCTATGGCAAATTTTTTGTTCTCATTTACCTCAAAAACAAAAATGATTATGGCAATAACGTTAGAAAACAGATTTTTAAGACTTCCCGGATGGATGCGTTACTCGCCGTCAAATGTAAGAAATCTTAATTGATGGTTTTTTGAGGTACAGTTTTCGTTTTATTAGTTTTCATTTTGTAGTTGTTATGAATTTCCACTCTTGCGTGTTAGATAAAAATGTTTATCAATTTTGCATTGATTGCCACAAGCAGAGAATCTCGAAAGTCGATATTTGAAGAGGAAGATATTTGACAGTCATTAACAACAATTGATTTCAAAGAAAATCAGGAACGAAGATGTCTATATGACTGTTTTCAACAATTCAAGATAGACTCTGGGGAAAATTTTATTTTGTGCAAAGAGAAATGAACAGATAAGTCAGTTAAAACACTGTTTGTTAATTATATATTGGACATTTCTCTTGGTGTACACGGCGAGATTTACACACAATGATATTCATGCGGTATTATTCTTTTATTCGATTCTTTGGTACGTCAAGGAACATTTTACTGAAGCTTGAAAAAATTTATCGACAAAGTCTCTCAAAACTGTACATTTTCCTTTGCTTTTTGACTAGTCGACAAAGCCGAGGAACCCAATACCTTTCACGGACCTTTGCCATCGTAAGTATAACTCCTCCATGGAGTGTTTCCAAGTGTGCATCTCCCACTAACTTCACGGTGAATCAGGCAAGTAAATCAGGCAAGTAAATAGGTAACTCTCCTTGTATCCGACCGTGACATCTTAAAATCTTGTCATCGTCGGGTCGTACATTTAACTGAATCAGATCCGTGTGAGACTTTGGGTTTTCTTCCACTCCGGCTTGTACCATTTTCATCCATGACATGTGTTGCTCTTCCACTTCTTCAGATGTCAGTGGCCCGTGCCTTATCTCATTGCTGTTTTGTCGAGTATTACCAATAAATCATTTTACCCACGACCCAATACGAATCGCCTTCCGCAATGGATGTTTTTCAAGAACATCACTCAATATTGCAAAGTCTGACCGCTGGATAGCCGTGCTCAAAACTACCTTGTCGCCTTTGCTTCACTTTGGGAGTCAGTGGACGGTTTGATAGTAAGATCTGGTGGTATATGTGATATCTATCTATAGTATACAGTGATTTATTTGATATCTACTTATAGTATACGGTGATATATGTGGTATCTATCTAGAATCGTGGCCAGAGATTTGCCAGGCGGAAAGCGAATTTACAATATGAACATAATAGTCCAACATAAGACTTTTAAAAAGCCATCACAATAATAAAATAGAGAAAGATTTATTAATAACGTTTCGTCTTTAACTTAAGACATCTTCAGATTATTTGAGTTAATTTATATACACGAGGTTTTAAATACAAGCGCTTCCTGCACTTAATCTTGTTAAAGCCAATAAGTAGCATTATTATCAAAACATCATAAGGGACGCTTCTGGCAAATTTTCTTAGCATAAACTAATATACTTTGTACGTCAACCTCGTGAAGTGGTACGGTTCCAAATGGCGCTCTTCCGGCTTCAAATTCGATTAGCGATGCGCGACCATGTAATGTACATATCAATATATTTAGAGCATTTCTCATTTTTACATAGGTTATTATGCATGCATGCAAATGTTTAACACAACATGAGAAATGGATATAAAGTAAATTATGCTCTTACAGTCATGTAGGAAATGTAAAACGGGTTGACCAAAAATCGTTTTCTCTCGGAGTTCAAAAGGTTCATGCACGATTCTTTTAAAGCCCACTCTACTACATTATGGATATGAAGGTTTATAATCAAGATGAATCTATGGCAAGCATATTCCGAAAATTGACATCCGTCCCAATGTCTTTGGAACACGTAGAATAATCCCAATAACAACCTATGTTTCTTAAACAATTTTATTCCTACTCCTAAAAGTATCTCGCTTCTCTCGCTTGTCTCTCCCCTCTCAGTTCCGTTCTCTGCTCTCTCTACTTCCGTTCCACTCATGTTGTCCGCATTGTTCCCCATCGTACCCGACGTACTCCAATGTACAATTGAAAACCAACACAACTTTAACATAATTTGCAACACCCTCCCCTACATGTGACTACGAATGAGTCACATGTTATATCACTTTGTCTCGAAGTTTATTTCATTCCTGTTCCATTAGCTCCTGATTTATCGCCTCCGCAACCACAGCAGCTTGTCGTCTTGGTCTGAATTCTTTGGCGTTCACTCGCAACTTCTTTTGATGGTTGCTGACGTCACATTGTAATTCTAAAGGATAGATCAGTTGGATTGGCCTCTCAAGAGATATTTTTCCCCACTGAAGCTTGACTCCTCTCACAACTCCATCCCTTCCACGGATCAACATCGTTACCTTTCCGATATTCCACATATTTCTATTTCTCTCATCACCCTTAATGAAAACGATATCTTCCTCTTTCGGATGAGATTCGGTTGCTAATTTGTTAACTTGATTGCGTTGGCGTAGACTTGTTAAATATTCTCGCTGCCATCTGTTCTACAATTGGGTTTTGATTTTGTATAAATAATTTGCTCGCTTCCGTAATTCACCGTCCTTAAATTGATGACTCTCCATTTCAGGGATGACATTCGTCCGTTGCAGTACAAAAGAAGATGGCTTCAGTACAGGAGTTCAACAGATTTGCCAGGTGGAAAGCGAATTTACAAAATGAACATAATAATCCATTATAAGACTTTTAAAAAAGCCATCACAATAATAAAATAGAGAAAGATTTATTAATAACGTTTCATCTTTAACTTAAGACAACTTCAGAATATTTGAGTTAATTTATATACATGAGGTTTTAAATACAATCATATATTACAGGGTGTTAAATTACATGTGAGTTGAGTAGGAAGTTTAGATGACGGAATTAAGTGAGAATGGCAGTACATTAAAGAAGGTAAAGGGGGATTGAGTTTCTTTGGGTGTTAAGAGAGGGGTTAAGTTTGGATATTAGAAGGCTTTCGTGAATCATAAGGTCATAATTGTCGGAGGAGGAAGAGAGAATTGAGAAGTCATTAAAATCGGCAGAGTGAGATGTATTTCTTATATGAGAAAGAACTGCAGATGGTGGTGGACATAAGGAAGGTTTCCCTGTTAAGGGAGAGATTCCCAAGTATGAATGTTTCAAAGTAAATGGTTTGAACCCGGGAGTATCGTCATTTACCCGGGACGATCATCATTTACAAACAAATATGAATGTTTCATTATCCTATCTTCAGATCATATCTTCATTTAATTTGATTCCCAAGTGTTAAGATATTCTGGTGTGTAAATGACGCGTGGTTTGACCCACATACGATGCAGAGCAGCACCGACACTTAAATGAGTATACAACACCAGATCTCAGGAACTTGGAAAACCTATCTTTAAAAGGAAAGAAAGAGGAGAGACGCCTGGAAGAACGAAAAACAAAGCAAACGTTAATATGAGGAAAGGCAGCATTGCAGAGTCGAGTGATTTGACTGCGAATCTAAAGACAGTGTAGGCCAGTGAAACGGAGACAGATTTAAGGGAGACTCATTTAAGTGTTGATGCTGCTCTGCATCGTATTTGGGTCAAGCCACGCGTCATTTACACACCAGAATATCAGAACACTTGGGAATCTCTCCATTAACAGGGAAACATTCCTTATGTCCACCACCATCTGCAGTTCTTTCTCATACGAGAAATACATCTCACTCTGCCCATTTTAATGATTTCTCAATTCTCTCTTCATCCTCCGACAATTACGACCTTATGATTCACTAAAGCCTTCTTATATCCAAACTTAAACCCTCTCTTAACACCCAAGGCAACTCAATCCCCCTTTACATTCTTTTATATACTGCCATTCTCACTTAATTCCATCATCTAAACTTCCTACTCCCCTCACATGTAATTTAACACCCTGTAATATATGCTTGTATTTAAAACCTCGTGTATATAAATCAACTCAAATAATCTGACGATGTCTTAAGTTAAAGACGAAACGTTAATTATAAATCCTTCTCTATTTTATTATTGTGATGGCTTTTTTAAAAGTCTTATGTTGGACTATTTTGTTCATATTGGTATCTATCTATAGTATACAGTGATATATGTGATATCTACCTATAGTATACACTATACAGTGATATATGTGGTATCTATCTATAGTATACAGTGATATATGTGATATCTACCTATAGTATACAGTGATATATGTGGTATATAACTATAGTATACACTGATATATGTTGTATTTACCTATAGTATACAATGGTATTTGTGGTATCCACCTATAATATACAGTGATATCTTTAGTATCTAACTATAGTATACAGTGATATATGTGGTATATAACTATAGTATACACTGATATATGTTGTATTTACCTATAGTATACAATGGTATTTGTGGTATCCACCTATAATATACAGTGATATCTTTAGTATCTAACTATAGTATACTGTGATGTATGCGATATCTACTGTAGAGGACAGTGATATAAGTGGTATAGTATACAGTGGTATGTGTGGTATCTACCTTATAGTTGGTTCTTCATCTCCCCCCTATTTTCCTCATGTTAAGGATAACTTTGGAGCTTATGAATAACTTGGAATTTTTAAGTTTAAAATTATATGGCTGGGGATAACTTGGTGTGGTTAAGAATATTGGAATGTGTGAGGATATGATGAGATTGTGGATGTGTACTTGGGTTGTTTTCATAACTTGGGATTGTTGAGTATAACTGAGGATGGTAGATTATTTGATTATTTGGTTATGAAAATCATCGAGTCCTATTGTAGTTCAACTCTAGTGGTCAAACTGAACATTGACAATTTTGACGTACCTTAGAAATAAATTTGTTGTATAGGTCGTGTTTTTATGAGTGGTAGTACAGACGATGTGGTAGCCATAAGTAGTCCTGCTACTGGCCTCAATGTCCGTTTGATCCAAGGTCATAAGGGAGCACCAATGACTGATATGGACATTGCTTCACATAAGGTACAATGAAAAACACTCTGCAACAAATAGAACTGAGTAAGAAATAAAAGATTTTCACTGTGTTTGTACGGGCTTATGCAAACGGAAGAGTCCTTTGGGAGAACTTAAGAGCAGATCAGTGCACCTGTTTAAGAGTTCTCATGAGCCTCTCCAAGGTTTGCATAAGCCCGTGCCAACACAAAAACATCTTTTACTTCTTATCTAAAATAGCAATTATGCGAAAGTTTCAGAGAATTGTTTTTATTTTTCCTTTAACATGTATTCATGATTGATATGCAAATTCTCTTTGATTGATTGAATCAGTGGAAACGTTTATTTATTTTGTTTTATGAATAAAAATTCGTAACCTACTTCAAATTGTTTTTGAAGCACTTTCGAAATATTTACCAAACTTAACATCTTACTGGTTATTGATGATGATTATTATATGGCAAGCGTCACTTCCGGCTAAATGATGCGCTTTGATTGGCTCAGAAACATTTTTGCCCGTCCATTATTTTCCCGTAATCGACCACGGTCCAAAACGCGTAATTTTACTGTCAAATGTAAACAAACATCTTAAAGCAAACAGCAAAACGCGAAATAAACGAAACAAAAAACTATTTACGAATGTAATTCGAACGAAAAACACTTGGAAAACTATCTAGACGATACAATTATGAAACGAGTTTATTTTTTATGGACGAAAACTAGAAAAGTGAAAATCAACTCGTAAAAACCGCAAGGACGAGAAGGCAAGCTTCGTTTCAGGTCAAATAATGCCATCTAATAATCTATTTAAAAACCTCGCTTTCTCGGTCTTTACTGAGAAATATCAAACCTCTGTCTTTTTTGTACAACCTCGCCCTACGTGCTCTTGTCTGTACAAAAAAATTTCGGTCCATTATTTCTCTGTAAAGAACTAGTGCTCGGTCCTTAAGGGCTTTTTAATAATCAAAACATTGTTTTTAGAACGATCATCCATCATTCCAATTCTCCCAGATTGTGGCTTATTGCGAGCGCTGATCGTAGGGTTAGAATATGGAAGGCCGATTGATCGAAGGATTTCTGCGAGCTTGTTGATTGGTTAACTTTTCCCGCTCCAAATATAACACCAGAAGGAATTGCTTTGAAAAAAGACGATGCGGTGAGAAATTGTAGTTTGTTTCAAGATAATAAAAGATAAATAAATTATTATGGAAAATGGTTTTAATAAGTTTGAAATAAGCATGTTTTCTCCCTTTGAAGTCTGCGTATTTGCATCTACCGCCAAGTTTGGCAATAAATTATTATGGCCGATGTTGTTATGTACTGTGGTTATGGTCTGAGAAAACTGATACAATTCTACAGCTTGTCCCAGAGAAAGGTCAGTATTTGTAACAGGTCTGTTCTTGAAGCAGACAAAATGTCCATCATTGATGGAAATGTGTTCATTGTCAGGTTTTTCGAACTATTTTGTTGACACAATGGGCATCTTGCTTGGAAATATCGCCTAAGGGTCATTTAATTGCTGTTGGAACCAAAGGTATAAATTAAGAAGTTTTTTACAATGTTCTGCAAAACAATACTGAATGATTTGAAAATCCTTTCTATATCTTGAAATATAATAGTTTGAAATCGATAAAGGTTTTTATCTTCTCCAACTTATGTCAATTTTTCTCATCTAGTTGTTTCCATTAGTAAAACTGGACTATCGATGGTTTTCTGAGAAGAAAATTTAGATCACAATTTAGGGTTACGTATCCCACATAGTTTAAGTCTAAAAAGCCGTCCCAAATCGACGTAACTACGTCGGAAATATGAATCAAAAAAGCACTAGGTGAAATTCTCATTAAATAGTTTTTTATTTCTTTTCAGTGCTTCTTTTATTTCCTCGAGAATTATTGACACCGAATGCTTTAGTTTACAATCACTTAATTAGGTATTTTTGCTGTCTGTAATTTTCTTTTTGTTTTAGATCGACTAGTGAAAGTAATTGATTATGATAAAGGAAGCTTTCAAGATTTCGATATGCATTGTGACTCTATTAGCCATGTGACATTTTCTCCGACCGGAGATAAACTGTTTTCCGTTGGTTTTTCGGATGTTGCTTTGTGGAAGGTGTTGATATAGAGAGACGTCCTTATTACACAATCTTGGCAAAACAATATAAAGTCGAAGGCTGGTGCGCTATAGTCTATGACCCGTCAATTTAAAAACCCGATATTTTATCTGCTTATTGAGAGCAATAGAGAGATATGCGTAAAATGTAAAATGTATAATATATTCTTATTTATGAAAGGAAAGTAAAACCAGCAAAATTTTGTTTTGTTTGTTAAAGAGCAAAAGATTATTGTTGCAAGAAAGAAGCATGGAATTCATGGCTTGAGAGAGACAGCAATATAATAGATGGTTTTTGCCAATATAAAAAGCTTCTCTTCAAACAATGTTTTTTAAATGAAAGAGAACTATTTCAGTGTAGCCCTTGAAAAAGACTTTAATTGCTGGAGGGAGGGGGGTGGGAGGCTAGTGCTAATCTGACTTAGCCCAAGTTGATAACAAAATTTATGATCGAGAACATGGATGCAGAATTGTGATAAGGAAATGAATTTGGTCCTTACTTGGCATATAATGGTAATACCCATCATTACGCAATACGCGAATATAAAACGACGACATTTTTCCATGCTATTTTTTAACACGTCTTCATTAAGGCCCCGTTTACAATATACCGGATTGCTATCACAGCAGGTTGAATATTCTTTATATTAAAAGGCAGTAAAATTGTTCAGCGTCAGAAACACGATCAAATAGACTAAATCTATCCGCTTAATAAGCTTTTACTCCGAACAGTTATCCCTTTTAAAGCAAATGAAGATGTCGTGATGAGCTAATCCGGTATAGTGTAAACGCAGCCAAAACGTTATTTTTTAAGGAGTAATAAATTTAAATACTCCGGTATACGAACAATGAATTCATATTAACCTCGTCTACGCTATTTTAACCTCAGAAGAATCTTTTATAACGGTTCTCCATGAACGCCATACTTTCTGTAAATATCAACCCTTTTACAAAATTTCACAGCGGCAGAAAACTGGAGCAGCCGGAGAAAAAATGCAAGCAAAAGCTCACAAACTCATCTCACATTCGCAAGCTAGTTTTATTTTGACCAGGGAACGATCTCGCAAAACAGCTGTAGAATGCATCGAGTTTGACCTTAGTGCCACTGTAGGTGCTCACTCCGATGAAGTTGAGATAGAGGCAGTTTATTGTTTTGTCAATCTTTACTGCTGACAAGGTCATTGAATTGTTTAATTAGGCGTAGAAAGTGAACGGGGTGGGGTGTGTAATTCAGATAATATATTAATTGATAAGAATGAATTCCATACAGTGTTATTAAATGTTATGCACGCAACGCACAGAACATGAATGGAGCAGAAATTGACTTGAAGCACACTTATATATCAATGCGGTTAGATATAGTTATAAGACCGCCAACGAGCAGATATAAGCTAAGATCAAGACTTAACTACGGGTTTTACAAGAATTATCAAAGTTTGCCAATATCAAATTCTTTATACCCGTCAGTGCTAATGACATCGGCCTATACGGAACGTCCATTGTCCCCAATAATCCGTTTCTACCGCAATGGACTTGGGTTTACATTAATGAAGTTTCACTTAACTTCGTTTTTGACCGTGATATAGAGTGGTTTTTGTATAAAATATAATAAATTAAAATCTTACTGCATATTTCAAGGAAATATAAGGAAATACTAAAACTTATATTAAGAAATATAAGGGTCTTTTCCCTGATCACACTGGTAATTGACGTGTTAAATATTAATGCTGACTTCTGGGATATGTGTTAGTGGATAGAATAGATTCAGACGTCAGACCTTTTCGACCTCGTGGTCGTTAAAATCAATTATTGTAGTTTAATGTCGTCTTCATTGAAACGTGCTCTGACAATATTTATTCTGGTAAGTGTGAATTTTATCTGTTTTCATCGTGTTAAAGGGAAGTATAGCAAAGCTAAAACAATCAATACAACACAACAGCCATGGCCTACTTAAATTACACGGCCTGATATCTTGCCATAGCAAGGCCAAAAATGCAAGGCCATTGAATTTTCCGGCGGTGCTCTTCGAAATTTTGATCTTCTTCCTTCAAAATTGTTCATTGTCCTTACTTTATGGTATAATCTTGTAGCTAAAAGTCTAGCGATCATTTCAAGAGTTTATTGGCTGAAATTGGTCCATTTTTCGCCGAGAAATCAAAGTTTATAAATTGGTGCGATCGGCGGTTGTTTTGCTTATCACGCGCTCGTCTTCGTTCGAAAATTTTAGCTCTTAAGGCTGAAACACACTGGGCAGTCGCTTCAGTCGCGCGTCCAAAGCGAATTGATGCGCACGCGTCAGTCGCTTGAACGCTAGAAACACACATGCAGCGACCATCGCGACTTTTACCGTGGCGTCTATTGCACATGGCGGTGATTTTAGTTTGTTACAGACACAGATATCACTTAAACTTTTTATTTTGGCCTTTATTATAGCTACTAATATATGAATATTTACTCAGTACAAACTACAATGTGGAGAAAAGAGAACAAGCCAGTTAAAGCACGCCAATATGATCATAGTCCATTACGCGTATATTGTGGATAATCTTATTCTGCGCACTAAGGTTGTGCATTAGGGTTCCAGTTTGTAGCTCCTATTGTCCCTATTTGACAAGTCATATAAAAACTGAAAGATTCCAGTGTGAATTCACTATATATTGCCTTCGTTTTCCAAGGTATAATCTATAAATTTCGTATGATGCTTATGACAGGAAATATGATATGCATTTAGGAAGTTAAAATGTATCTATTGGCCAATCAGTGTAAAGCGACTGAAGCGACCAAAGTCAAAAGTTCAACATGTTGAACTGCGACTAGCTGACGCGACTACGCTACTAGCTTAGTAACCACGCAAAGCGGTAGTTTTAGACGCGCGACTAAAGCGACTGCCTAGTGTGTTTCAGCCTTTAAATCTATCGTGGATTATCTATATTTGGTATCTACGTGTTCTTGGTACTCTCCTCTACATTTCTACAAGATTTTTGGAGTCGAACTGTATACATTTTTTCTTTTATTTACGAAAATCTTCAAACCCATAATTATAGCGATGGTGCTTCCTATTTTCAACGGTGTCCTTCCTACTCCAACTACGCCTAAGAAAATTTCATCAAATCCAAACGATTTCATTGGTAAATCATACTATCCCTTACCTTTTCAAGCTTCCTCATTAATTGGAAATCTTGGTATTGGTTCTTCTCCATCCTGGGACATCAATATAAACAATAAATCGATCAAACTTAAAATAGAATGGTATGTTGAAAAGAACAATAACAGTTCTCATGAATTCCCAAAATCTCTACTTAACATACTATCAGCCTACAACCTTGTACAACCTACCTGGTCCTCCTCCTTTGCTGAAGAGAAACTGTCTTTCAAGTTTGAATGGAAACTACTCTCTGATGCTACTAACCAACCTGAACAAGTTAAAATTCCATCTACTAACTTACCTTTACATACTCCTGACTTTGGGTATACATCAACATCTAAATCGAAGACGAGCGCGTGATAAACAAAACAACCGCCGATCGCACAAATTTATAAACTTTGATTTCTCGGCGAAAAATGGACCAATTTCAGCCAATAAACTCTTGAAATGATCGCTAGACTTTTAGCTACAAGATTATACCATAAAGTAAGGCCAATGAACAATTTTGAAGGAAGAAGACCAAAATTTCGAAGAGCACCGCCGGAAAATTCAATGGCCTTGCATTTTTGGCCTTGCTATGGCAAGATATCAGGCCGTGTAATTTAAATAGGCCATGCAACAGCCTATTTCATTTTCGAGGTAACTTAAAAATGACGCTTGTTCGTTGACCATTTCTAAAGAATATTTTACCAATTGGATTTTAAACTATTCACCATTTCAAATGCTTTTATTTTGATGTGGAAGGGGTGACTTGCGTAACGTTGAACGGGGGAATATTTTGCACTGAAAGTTTCCGCTTATTGACTTGTTTTATCTCCAAAAGTCTGGAAAATTAGCTTCAGTTAAATAGTTGAGGGTAAAACGTCGAGCGCCAGGTATCTAAGAACGTAGCTTGATGATTTTCCGATTTTAAAGTAAACCATATCGCTGTCTATTCATGAATAAGAAAACAAAACGGAAAATTTGTCTTTTCACCATTCAATTCTCTATATTTGCCAGATATTTGCTTATTTTTAAAACAAAAATGGCGGACACCAGGAAATTTTACTTCCCGTGTCCAAACTCTTTCGCAAAATCATTCTTCCGTGAGGAGAATGGTAGCGATTTTGAAATAGAATCGATTTTTTTAGGTTTTGAAAAAGAGTTGCGCGATGTCTTCCAATTCATCTGATGATGAATCTGAACGTTCGTCATCTCCCAGCTTTCCTGAATATGAGATATGTATGAGCGAGGTATAAATAATAAAATATTTAATGTATCGATCTTCTGGTGAGCTTTTCACATTAAGATTAAAGCATTTTTTTTTGTTTAGAAACTAGACGGTATTCCACCATCGCATGTTGTCAACATTGAAACAAATATGGATATACGTTGTTTGTGTTATTTTTCATCAATGAAAAGTTTCTTGTACAGTTACAGGAGCGATGCACTAGGACTTATAAGTGAAGATTTTAAATCTGATATGAAGAAATTCATGGATATAAAATTTGAAAAGAACTCGAAAAAAATTTTTTTGCGTTTTTACGCAGATACAAAATGGGCCGTTTCCTGGAACGGTTCTTTAATAGCTGCAAGTGCAGCACTCTGCCGTCGTCTTAGAGATCATATTACCAATTTTGCTTTGATTGTTTTTGCCTTACCTGAGCATCAGGTCGGAAAGTTACCGAAATCGGTATATTGCATAAACTGTCTTCATGCTCGCACTTCTCAACTTAAGTTCTTCCCAGATGGAAAGAGAATTGCCGTCACTATTCGTTTGAATCCTGATATTCCCCATGACTTGGATCGTTTTTGGTGCCGTGTGTATAAACTACCAGACGGTTTGTGGAACGTAGAAGAATCTATAAAAGACGGACCCGACCAATGGATTGATCTTAAAGTTGAATTTAATGGAGTTGATTGCATTCAATTAGGTTGCCCTTTTCTTAATACGGATCTTGAGGCAAATGAACGTGACGAGCAAGTGTTAAAAGAAAGACGTGAAAGTGGAAATGAAAGTGGTGTTGAAGATTATTTAGATTTGCGGGCGCAGTATCGTGCTGATGGCTTTAGTTG